TATTAGCAAGATTTCATATTTCAGTATATCTGTGTGCCCTTGAAATGTCTGAAGGATTTATCTTGCTTCTAAAAGAGATAAACTGAATCTTTATCCAAGGAGCTTGGCTTCATATCACTGCTATTCACTTCTGTCCTACCTCCAAAATATCCTATATCCATCCTTCAAGTTTGAATTTTTGGATCATTGGAAATAGTGACAAGAAAGCAGAAAAGCAACCTCAGAAGGAAAGGATTCAAGATCATAGGGTACAGATGGTAGGTGCTTCAGAAATCAAATGGTCCTTAGAAGGGATATTGCAGCCTTATGGCTGAATAGTGGTCTCTAATGCACCAAGCTTTTGTCAGTTGTAGAGGGTATTTTAGTTGGCTGAAATTTTACAGATTTTACATCTTTTGAAATTAATAATATCTCATGCATTTAATTCCATTTTAGCCAGTCATCTTGGTTAAACAACTAACAGGTTAATCAGCATGTAAGGTTTATAAACTGCTTGATTTTAGTTTTTTAATATGTAAAATGGAGTATTCCATAAATGTGAGCTGGAAATGTACTTTGATATACATTAAAACAAAAGAAGCTCTGTACAATGGGATGCTTTATTCGTGTGAATATCCACAGTGGATAGGAAACCAAGGCACTTTACTAAAAAGACTTATAACTGTTTGGCTGCATCCAGATTTCCTAATTGTATCTGTGTCTGCAATCACTGATGTGCTGATCCAATTCAATATTCTGAAGCCTTGATTTTTCTCAAAGGTTAAAGCTAAAAATAAAAGCAACACTGCTTGGTAATTTCTATTGATCCTGAGTTTATAATAATATCTTTGGCATTGTGGGGCATCATTGCTTAGCCTGACGACCACAGTTTGCTTTTAGTCTTAGCTACTGACACTATTAAATGGGCAGGTAAAATGTTCTCTGGAATGTTCTCTCTTCCAAGTGTTTCACATTTAACTACAGAAAATATATGTTACAATAATAGGTCTCCATGACATAAACCCACAAATGTGAGAGGGAGAAAATCCAGCTCCTCTATGCTATCTCACTCCTGCTGACTGCAGAGGTCTCTGAACAGTAGGGAGGCATAAATAAAATTTATAACGAGAGAAGTCTTCCAGAAGGCTAGAAGGGTGAAAGAAAGTGTCTTTCTTTAGTAGATGGTATTTTCCATAAGGTAGGGTGAGGTTTCCAGACCTTAAAATAATCACATTTATCCCTTGCGGAGCTTGCAGCTGAAAAACAGCAAAGCATGCAGTGGTGCACAAATGTGCACTGAAATTTTTTAAATGTTCACTGACCTTTTGGGGGCCTTCATGCTGTTTAAGAATCTACTGACCTACTGGCAATTACTGCACGCAAATGCCTAGCTTCTGCTGGGAATTCAACTTTCAGCTTTGCTTGCTGCTTCTCTTCTTTCCTCCTTTCTTCAAGACGCCATGTTCTGCAGCAAGACCCCCATAACCTCAGACCACAGGGAAAGTGTGAGGCCAGCCTCTCTGCCTGGGCTGGCTCTGTACTGCTGTTTGCTTGCAAACATTCAGTTATCAAGAAATGCGGGGTCAGCTCCACTCCTGCTCCACTTAATTTTCTTCACCCCATGCAGTGGGTTTGTCTCTCCTGCTGTCCCAGCTGTTCTTGCTTTTCCCAAGGTGGCAGAGTATGCCCCAGCTGCAATCTGCACTTCCTACAAACTTCCTTAGTTGCCTACCTGACCTCAGCTGCCTGGCCTAGATTTTTCATTTCCTGAGACTTCCACACCAACATTAAAAACTTAATGGCGGCTGCTGCAGGAATAGCTGGCAACAGCATTAATGGAGAGGGTGGCACAGTGTTTGCTCAAGTCAGGCCTGGGTTCAAATTCTGCCTCTATTACTGTTATCTTAGGCAAGTTGCTTAACTCTTCTGAGCTTTGGTTTCTTCAGCTGTAAAGTGAAGATACTGTTAGTTTGCTATAAGGATGAAATAAATAACATGTAAAACTTCCAGCATATTGTAGGCCTTTCCTAACACCAGCTTTCACTTTTGCTTCTTTTTCTGAAACTATATTCTGCTTTCTGTGGTCAATGTGCAAGCATACAAGATAAATAACAACCCTACCACATGGGGCTTATAAACTGTATGGGCTATGAGATCTAAGTATGAGAAAAGGTAAAACCTAACCCAGGATTTAAACAAAATTTGAAGACTAGCTATGGGTGATAAGCCAGAAGGCAGGAGACAATTGTACTTATATGAAAGACAATATGTTATAGAAATTGACTATGGAATGATTTTAAAAAAGTATAAAAGTGATGCAGTTTGAATTCAGTCTTCAAGATGAGCAGAGCTTTAGTAGAAGAAAGGAGGACCTCCTGGACAGAAGGAACACAGAAGTAGCACTGGGATCAGGAAAGTGCGGGAATGTGAGGAACATGGAGGCCGCAGTTGTGGCTAGAGTGGAGGGTTTGTTCTGCAACAGTAGGAGAAGAAGCTGATGAGAGATGTTGGGACCGGGAGTCTTTGTCAGAGTTATCAAATAAAAATTTACATGCCCACTTAAATGTGAGTTTCAGATAAACAACAAATAATATTTTAGTCTATGAAACCAAATGCTTCATGGTCACACTTAACACAAAATAAAATTGTCTTGTATCTGAAATTCAAATTTATGTGGCCGTGTTATACTTTACTTGGCATTTTATCTAACCTTATATACCAAGTAAAGATTATGTCTTTGACCTTGTGTCACACAGAATTTTAAAGAGAGGAGTAAACAGAAGAATAAACTTGAGATCAACTTGACAAAACAGCAGAATGGCTTGGAGAGAGAGTTTAGAGGCAGGAATATTGGCTCTCTGCATTTTACCCTGGTTTAAACCCTCGATCTCACATAGCTAGTGAAAGAATTCTCCTGATAGCTTGCTAGACAAAGATATATTTGTTCTTTCCATGACTTAGAGAATTATGGAATGTAAGGATACTGGATAAAACCTTAGTGCCTACATGGTGGTGTTTCTAATGAACATTAATCCAGACACCTAGGACTATTAATATGACCCATAAAGTGAGGGCATCAGGAACCCATCATCTGTCATCAGTGGAGGGGGAACACCCATAGCTCTTTGCAGAATTCTTCCATCAGTGAATCTTAATGAGGGGCATGAATCCTGAAACATTATTGCTTTGTTTTAATTTAGAGCTCACAAAGATAAGGAAGAAGTTTAAATAGTAATGTTCTTAGACAAACTTAGATAACACTGGGACATGCATTTTATTCATTTTTAGAGATTTATCTGGTTGCCAATTAATGTTAGGTTTTCATATTGAATGCCTTTTTACTCTCTCAACAGAAGAAAAAAAACTTTTTTTTCTAGATAAAGGAATCTCTAAGGTTATGTTTTTCGTGCAACTTTCAGAAAAGATTTTATTTTTATCTGATTTTATCAAATTTATCAAATTGTATATAATTTGCTGAAATTCAGCCTATTGAAAACTCACATATTATACATCTGGATGGTTTTATTTCCCCAAGTGATTTTATTAAATATTTTCACTGAAAGAGAAGAGACCTAGGCAACTATTACAATTCTGAAATTGATTTTAGAAAATACTGGAATGTATGAAAATATTTTTCCTTTTTCCATTAATAAAACAAGAAGTTAAAATGAATATTTCCAGAATTCTATTAATAATATAGCCAGTCCAAGTGCTCACATTTGTCGTCTGGTGCAAAGATAGGTAGAAATTAATATGAGATGCTTTGACATTACAGTCAGCTGAGCTCCTATTCTGAAAACATTTTAATGAGAACACTAGGTGCATATACGTGGCAACAACCTTAAGAGCACAGGTGACTCATTTTAGTTGATGAGGATGCTTTACTTTTTAGGATCAGGAATGTGGAATGGTGGGAAGCAAATTATTTCTATCATGTGATGCTTTCTACATATAAACATGTAAATATGTAACACCAAAGAGACATTCTTTTACTTCTTAATCTTCTAAAGGTGATGCTGTTTTATGAAATGAGGACATTCAGGTGCAAAGATGATAGAATGTTATCTCCATTTGATTCTTATGCTAAAAGTCAACCAAAGAAACCCAATCAGTAAAACACCCTATGCAGAACATCCAGAAACTCATTCTAGAGGACTAATCTAGAAGGTCCCTCAGTTCAGAATGTAAAACCTAGATCCACATTCAAGTCTATCAAGATTCTGATGGAAGTCAAACTGCTGCAGTAACCTGCCTATGCTGAATACTGGCTTGGGCTATGCTGCTCTCATCACCAAGGGGACAAAAGGAGTGAATCTGCTCATCCAGGTCATGCACCTTTCCCAGTCTTTGTACTCTGAGCCCAGAAACTTGAGACTAAGTGGTCAGAATCAGCTGATAGATATGTACTAGCCACTTGAGTTAATTTGGGTCGAAGCTTTTGCTCTTTGGTTGGAATCGTGGGTACCATTATCTTTATAGCCAGAATCCTTAGCTTACAGCTACTGAAGAAAATGCTTAAGGATCATGAAAATGAATTCAAATTTAGGAAAATGACCTTCTTTCCAAATTTTATGCCAAATTCAATAGTTTCAGCTTGGAATTGCTGTTGAAATGTCTTTCACTCTTTTGACCTTCTTTACCTCTAGTTCACTGTCTCAAACACCTTGGATTGGCTTTGTCCATATTCACCACTGTCAAATCCTCCTTTGACAGTTATCCAGTGACCTTTTCTCCTTCCCTTTTCAGAATGAGATAATTTACATAAATGCCTGTAGCAAATAAACAAACGACTTACTCCAGTATAGATTCCCATGAAGCTAAGGCAAAAAAAAAAAAAAAAAAAAACACAGAAGCAGAAGTAGCAAGATTTTGGTTTTTTGAGCTTATTCCCAAATTCTGTTCTCATTTTGACTTGCGGGCTGTTGCTTATTTCATCACTGCCTAAGTTTTGTTCCTCCGGCTTATGTTTCCTCTTTCAGTCCCTCAAAATATGCATTATATAAACTTTCAACTAGGTTTATTGGAGACTAGGTATGCCGGGATGAGTACTAAAGAAAAGCTCTAGTTTGGCTTAGGAATAAGAAGATCAGCATTTCCTTTCATGTAGAGAAGGTTTCTAAGGCCTACTTTCTGATATCTTCTTACATAATATGGGATAATTGCATCTTTTTAAAAATAGACCTAATGCCCTTTGCCTGGGGCTAAAAAGAAAGCCTTTTTGGAGGTGAATTAGTTCTACTTTTCAAATCTATTTCGTATAAGCTAAGAATCTTTGGGAGAAGACAAGCTGGCCTTCACGTACTTTTTTCTTTTCCTGGTTTTTGGATGGATGACCCATCAAAACTTGCCAAAAATATAATTGAAATATGCATTTTCATCTGATGGAGGAGTCTATAAATTGTTGAGTAATCTTTTAGAGTTTTTCAAATCTGGCAGTCTGCTACATGCACCAAGAGAGAACATTCATGAAGAAAATGTATTCTTCACTAGTTACTCAATGTGAACATAGAGGCTTCTTCACCCAGCCAAGAACTCAGCTATATCCTGCATACAAGTAATAGCCATTAGTATGTAGAACAACACTGATTTTTATCAAAAATGAAGTGAAACATGTCATGTTTATGTTTGTGGAGGCAGTGCCTCCACAACTGACTATATGAGGCCAGTGAAGATAGTTCTCTGAGATGAGGCCAAAGCTTAGGGTAGGCAGCCATAAGGATGGTGGGAAGTGTTAAGAACCCTGCCACTGTTAAGACCAAATAGGAGTCTGGATACGTTGAAGAACCCTGCAGGATGTTTGCAACATATGGGAAGAAGGAGCTGTCCAAGCAAGGTGGTACCCTGGTATGCCAACAGTCTTCCTTCTCAATTTGATATTAAAAATCTGTTAAAAGAGCTTCATATTTTTGCAAATAACTCTTAAAAGTTCAGGAGTCCTTCTTTTTTAGATTGTTTATTTTTAAATGTAAGAAAATATTGTTGCTAATGAATATGTATGTATTTTAACACTTTAAAAGCTTGTAGAACCCATTTAAATGATAACTTGTCAAATGAGTAAATTTTCTGTCTCTAAATCACTCTTACTGGTTAAAGCAAAAGATACCTGTATTAATTCTCTTCTGTGAAAACAGCATCCAGTGTTTTACTGACTGATGGATGCTGTGCAATAAAATTTGCCACTTTAACATCATTCTTTGGACTAATGCAAGGATTAGAGTTTCTGGAGCAAAGATATCTTGTGCTTATATATTTTATTATTTTGGCATGAAATGTTTTCTGCTGTGTTGGGAAGCCACATGTAACTTGGTGTTCTTTACCTTCTAAAATTTAAAAAAAAAAAAGTTAGCATTGCATTTTCCGTACTGCACATAAAAACAATGCGATGCAATCTGAAATCCTTCCAACAGAGGGCTCTATGGGTTTGATTTAGATCAAGAAAGAAAGAAAACTGCTTGGCTTTAGGTTGCTATAGTAAATTCTGTATTATACTTAAAAATAGAACTGATAAAAATGGAGTCAGATGAGTTGAACTGGAAGAATCATCCAAAGATGAAATGTAAGATCTACCCTTACAAGACAGAATTTCATAATTCTTTGAATTGATGTTCTTTTCAAAAGACAAAATATATTTTACCATCTATAAATAAGAAAGTAGGCAAATGAGAGATAATCCATGCTTTAAAGTACTATTAATATTACCTCATTCAGTTACATTTAAAAGGAAAAGAAGGAGCTACCGCATTCATTCCCTTCTTGGAGACATTTTATCTTTGCTGTTGGCAAATAATTTAGTGTTGGTATAAGCAGATGTATTATGTACGTAAAATGCATTGTAAATATTTAATACACGAAATATATGTTTGCATACATGCACAATGCAAAATGTTACTAAAATATTTTACAAAAGAAGTGATACTCTTTAAAAAGTAAAGCACAAAACCATAAGAAAAGCTGACGTGCAATATATTTTGTTACCTATGCCTGCCACAAAGCTTACTTTTCCATGTTAGGTCTAGTTTTTAAATTCTATTTTCAGATTGTAAAGGCTTACAATATATACATTCAAGCAAAGTAAATAATAAACTAAAGCAATAAATTACTTTTGGACTCTAGATCTTTGTCTCCTGATTTTAAGAAATGCTACACTATATCTGATCTTTTTCAGTGTTCTTTGAAATGCATGGGCTCAAAGCATTTGGTAAGCAGACAGATTTTAAAAATTTTAACCCATCTTATTATGTCTATTTAAAAATGTTTATTTCATTTGGTGTAGAGATGCTTTAATGGCACAACTAATATTCTATTTAAATAAATATTTTTGAAGTTTGGACATATTTTCTAAAATATACTTACCTAAAAATTCCAAAATTACATTTCAAAAATACTAAGTATCATTTAGAAACACTGACATCTTAATAAATGCTTGTATTTACAACCAGAATGTTTGCTTATAGATTTTCTTGAATACAGATGCAGATTATAATTTATTTTTCTGGATAAACCATTAGTATATAAATATGCAATGCATACAATCATAATACATAATACTAGTAAATGTACTTTATATATATTTATATTCAAGTATATTGTATATTTTTAACTAATGCTATATTAATTTTTTTGGTATGTATAATCCATATTTTTTCAATAAATATATAGTTATTTTTGATATAATGGCTTTGACCTAAAATTTTGCTTTTATCAAACATAATTCTTCGATCTGACAACATTAGTCCACAAATTTCCTGTTCATTTTGAATAGTATGTTTATAACATATAAACATGATCTGCTATGATCTGTTATCAAGCAGATAAAATTTGGTTTGATTATCTATAAAATCATTTTCAATGATTTTTTTATTTGCAAGACATTTAACAAAGACAGAATACTTTAAACACAATTGCAGCCTGGGTGTTCTTATGGAGTGTGATTAGCATTTCTTATATATTTCTACTTGTCTTTTGTTTTCTTTTTTTATGAATCATGAAAGAGCGATCTCTAATAAGATCCAAAGAAGATTCAAACCAAAATATTTACAGTTCTATAAGTTATTTTCGAAAAATACAGAAAGGTTGTTTTTTGACATAATTTTACTTAGGGAAAATATCTTTTCTAAGTTTCATTTCATTTTGTTTAAACTATCTGGAGCATGAATTATGACTTTTGATGGATTTCCTAATAAAGATTCAGTAGCAGCAAACAAGCTTTGCTTCATAGGGCTGCTATTTTCATATTATAAGATTTTACATGTATTTCTGGAATTCTTACTTGTAAATTCTTCCAGAATATTTTCCTCTTTACAAGTAGAGAGAATTATTTTATTTGATTTGTTTTTACTCATCAATGATGAACTTAAAGACATAGCACTGTGCCTTTTGTTCAGGAACTGAAAGTGCAGAGGACAGAATGCATATGAAACACATCTAAACAGTATCCTTTGCTAAAATGATTGTCCTTGTTTTTGGCTGTGGGGTCCAGATATTTTCATAACTTTGTCCAGGTGGAAGTTAACCTTCATCAATATTTTAATTTTTTAATTTAAGAGATGATTACATTGAAAACCATGTGAAATGCTGAGCTAAGATAATGTAGACACATTTAGGACTCAATTTTGATTAAGAATAACAAATATCTGTATCAAAGCCCACTATTATATAATGTCAACAACATGTATCTATAAGTAATTTTTTTAAAAAAAAGTAGTCATAAGTACTACACCCCATTGAATTTGGGGTCTAGTACATAGATTCTGGGCCAAGGCACAAGTCAGCATTATTTACATCTGTGAGTATTGCTTTTGTGGTTATATGAAAAAAAAATAAGAATAAAACAATAATATTTTCTAAAACTAGCACACAAAGGTAATGGTTTGCTTTGTGCACCTGCCAGTTTGGGTTGCTGTTAAAGCCACCCTGGAAATTCTCCTGTCTTTGTGCAATATTTTATGCTTTTCTTTTCTTCAGGGCAGATTGGTTCTGCCTGCACTTTATTCCTGAACCCACGTTCATTCAAAATGGATTGCCATACTTAAATGCTCTATCTAGTGCTACTGCTGCTGCTGCTGCTGCTGCTGCTGACTAATAATGCCCCTCCCCCACTCCAGCTCCCACCCCATCATACTTGGGTGATCTCTCCTCTCCTCTTTCCTCTCTCTCTCTCTCTCTCTCTCTCTCTCTCAGGCACCGGTGGCCCTATTGTCAACAAAGAATGCATAATGGTGAAGTACTCAGCAGTAATTTTGGTGATGTTTTCCCTTGCATGTTTTGAAAGTATTTCTGAAGAGTATAAATAAATGTGCCCTAAATTCTCCCCCTTTCTCTAGGCTGATATTTGGAGCTAAGCTCTCATTAGAAGGGCAGCCTCAGAACTGCAGTGGCTGAAATGCTTTCAGGGAATAAACATGTGGCTCAATGACTCCCTCTCTTTTTAATAATATTAGCGCCATATAGATTTAATAACGGGGTGGTTGAAAACATTTTGATGATGGGGCAGTTTCTCTGATCTTCCAGGGAAAGCATCTGATTTGCTCATGTACCAATTAATTATTAAAGCCACTGAAAATACAAGCTACTGTGCTTCCCTTCTGGAAACGGATGACGGGTGTGTGTGTGTGCGTGTGTGTATGAGACACATGTCTGTGCTCTTGGGCTCATGTTTAGACATATCTGTATATTACATAGAAGGGAAGCTTGGCCAGAAATGTCTTCATTTTGACCTTGAAAGTCACTGGCAATTTTCTGTGTGTGTGTCTGGTAGAGTAATATTTCGATGTAATAGGAGCATAATCCTTTTTCTTTTCCCTTTTAAATTTTTCTTCCTCTACACCATCTAAATGGGCCACAGCCAACCATCACTTTTAATTTTATCTTCTGTTTCTTGCCTGTATTTTATTAGCACCTTTTCTGTTTTACAGTCTACTCACTGATATGGCACCAGATCTGTTGTAAGCAAACAATACGGTTTTGTTTTGTGTTCCAATAAACACTGTTCTGCTGTATGGCGTATCCCCTATATTTTGTACCTTATTTGATTTGGTTAGGCTTGTGGAGACTATTTCATGCAATATAGACCTAGGTTCATCCTTTTTTTCAGATTCTGGGGCTCACTAAAGTTTTAAGGCAAAGAGATAGCAGATTTTTGGGTTATTGTAAAATTTGTTGCTTTGTATTGTGACAATAGTGTTCATATGCCTGACATCCTCATAATAATATTAAGCTCTATTTTTTAGTGTGATGTACTTTATACATTTGTATAAATGTCACAGCCTGTAATCACTTCCTTTGTCATCGACGATTAATCTAAAAAAATCGAATAATTCACTGCCCCTTGCCATTTACATATCGTCTGCTGCCATCTGCTCTTCTCAGCAGCAGTAAATGATGGGTAATTAACTCAGTGCCTTTGTCTTTCCCTTGCTGAATGTCTGACACATATAGATTTTTCTCTGTGTGTGTGTTTGTGCGCGTGTGTGTATGTGCATGTAAGAGGAAAAGGGAGGGAATGACAGAGGAAAGAGCAAAAAAGAATGAATGATATTGCAAATATAGAAGTCAGCACAAGCTAATTTCAGAAGAAAAAGCCAAAGATACTGGATCAGAGAAGGAACCATATCTCAGGACCTCATGTCTTCTCAAGCCAAAGGAAAGAACTGCTAGAACAATGGCTGCCTTGCACAGGCAAGAAGCGCTTTTCTGAAATCTTAGAGGTCAAGGTCATGATGCAAAATCAAGTAAAGTTCCATAAGCTATTCCATCTACCAGCGTCAAAGAGAGATCGTGTAAACGAGACCAAGTGTAGGGTACCCACGACCCACGTAAACGTTCTAATTAACTTCTGAACTGGTAACCAGAATCTCTCTTTTAGGAAATGGTTATAGAAAGAAAATCTCAGTTGGTATTGACTCTTAATAAATTTTTTAAAATACGAAATTTCAAGGAAAACTTACAAGAGCTTGTCTAACTGGGAAGAATGTAGAAATTCTTATTTTGAAAAAAAACCAATATCACTATCCTGGACTTCCCCAAGCTTCAAATTAAATTATCAATTCCTCCTGGTGCCACTCAAGAGTGCATTAGAAAGAAATCCCACACTATTTTGAATACTTTATATAAAATATTACTCTAATAATTTTTGTTTAAGACATATATCTTGTTACATAAAAAATTATTTGAAAGGTGATTAATTTTGGTAATACTAAAATAAAAGTAATTAAAAGATAAAATTTTAAGGAAGATAAGAATTTGGCTTGCTAAGACATGATTTTTATGCTAAATAAATTTAGACCATATAGGCCAAGTACCAGAAATCCACCATAATCTTTTCCACACAGAATTACTAAAGCTCACTTCAAATAAAGATGATAGTTTTTGCTGTTGGTAGCTTAAGCATGCTAAATCCAGTTCTTGTTTTCAAGGAGTTTACCATTTATATTTGTATATAAATACTACATATATAATATTTATTAATCAATCAGTCAAAGGAGTAAAATATGGGGATTTAAGATCATTATCTTGTATTCTTTAAGATTTTTGTCACTCTGTGTTGTCAAGGTTTGAGTGCTTTTTGAATTTACCACTGAAAGAGGAAGATCAACACCAAATCCAGAAAAATCCTTGGAGCCCTTTTCAGTGTGTATAGGACTTTCTATGTGATACCTTTATCATGAATCCTGGCACTGTATCTCTACTTTTCTGTCTACACAATGGCTATGAAGACACTCTCCTTTTTTTTCCATCATGAATGTCATGAATGATCAAAAACATTTACCTTTTGGTTTAATTGCAGTATTTTGTGGTTAATTTTTCTTCAGCATCTATCACCACAAGATATCTGAAGGTTAAGCAATTGGCCAATTATCATAAAATAACTGGACACCATTGGAAGGCCATTGAGTTGTTAAATTACATTTTCTACATCAGTTTAAAATAACTTGCAGAGATGACTGAATATATACATAATGTGATGAAATAACTAAAAGATCCTCAATTACTAAGTCACTTAAATAAAAAAAGAAACGTTATGAATGTAAAAACATGGACTTCATTTCTCAGGGCTGTGTTAACTATGTGAAATACATGTACATTATAAAACTATTTAAATTTCATAAACTTTTTATGACTTACAGGTAGATTTGTCAGCATCTAATTGAGTAAGAGATTCTTGAAAGCTTTCATTGCAGTCGTTAATTCAGCATCATTGTTCTCTCAGGCTGTTACGTGACCCAACAGGCTGGGAGAACAATATTGCTGAATATAATTGGCATATGTCAGCAAAATATAATTAGTAACAAGCCTCTTTCTGAAATGCTCTTTTTGTTGGTGAAAAAAAGTTGAAGATTTCCTCTTGGATTAAATTATAGCTTAGATTTCTCTTTCATTTAATTTTGGTAGATCTTAAAAAACAAGATGAATTAATTTAAATCTTGATTCAAGGAAATATATTGATTTCCTGTGTTGTGCTAACACTGGGAAGGGATTTCTTTCCTTCAGTGGGTTTTTAGTTTAATTCTGGGTATGAGAGCATTTTGTATAAGAAATATGGAGCAGCGCATTATCAAGGGCTATTCTGAATATCCAGGCTAAATTAATCCTCTCCTGCACCACTGAGTTTTGAAATAGGTTCAGTGACCAGCCATTTCTGAGGGGTTGCAAAGAAGCTGCCACAAAATCAGACTCTCAGATTGCAGCTTCCTGCTTGGGAGTTTCTAATACCAGAGACACTGACGTGCAGACAGTCTTTGTATCCTTTATCACAGCACCTTCTATATGCTTAACTCCAGGGGTATTATGGCTAATGTTGGTAATGGTGAAAAATATGTTACAATTGTCCTCCAACTAATAGTGTAAGGAAGAAGATAGATATCTTTCACTAGAGACAATTTTAGGGGAAAATGATACTGTGATATATAGCATTTTAAATGGAAACAGAGTATATACCAAATTGCTTTTGAGTGTGGTGGGGGTGAGGAAAATAACTTTGGAAAATTTCTTCAGAACCCAAGGTTGAAATGAAACATTATTTTAATGAAAGAAAAATAACATTTTGAAATGCAATTTCACCTAAGAATGTTGTGACTTTGCAGTCATAGCCAAGTCTGAATGAGTGGTCCCATCTGACCCAAGCCACAGCTTCAGAAGCACAGCCCTGGAGGAGTAAGGACGATGAGGAAACAGATGCCTAGCCATCCATATTGACGAAAACCTGTGCTGGCAACCCACGGAGTGCCACATATCAAAGACAGGTCTTGATCACATCTTCATTGCCAAGGTATTTCTCTCACATTGTTAACCTAACCCAGCCTCACACCTTGAACTTCTTCCCCACTCATGCTCTCACTCTGGGTCTGAGGTTCCTGGACATTATTCCTGCCTCCTAAATAGCCTGTTCCTAATATTCCTGGCTTATCAGCCCTCACTTCATTCTGTTTTTTTTTTTTTTTGTTCCAGGTCCTGTGTTTCTGGTAGGTTCTCCTCCACTCATTTCTCCTCCACATGGACCACAATTGTCCAGCATTTGCATTATTTATCTCATGCACCATCATCACCATTTAGTGCACAGAAGTCATTTTCAACATGGAACAGCTCTGCACATAAAATGAATTTCAAGAGGCAAAGAGACAGGGTGGAAAAATCGATCTCTATACACACACATAATTTCTTTGAAGTCTTATGGGGAACTGTAGCTTATGCAAACTTTTGGTCATTTTAGATTTATGCAATGAAATACAACCTGCTTAGCAGAATTAGTTGAGTTTGAATAAAGCTCTGGTAAGTCATGAAAATAATCACAATGATTCAAAGGAGACAGAGGTAAAGGCCACGAACAAATTCTGCTTTTTCAATGATATGTACCCATGAGAAATGATAGACAGGAGCCAAATAAACTCATCACAAATAGGAAGGCTGTCACAGAGAGGTGTGATGTAGCAGCGAATTCTAGTTAGATCAAGTGATAGTGAAATGTAGGCTACAGAAAGATTTGGTAAGTGCCAATCCAACTTCTGAAACACATGAATCAAAGGGGTGAATATATGAAATTAGCAAATAATTATCTGCTTTATTAAAAAATTTTCAGCAGTTTCAATTAAAAAATAATTCCCCTTGTTTATGAACACTTTAAGTTTTTCAAAATCATAGTTTATATGTGATCTTTAGGGAGGCAGATTGATAGAGTGGAAAGATAATCCCAGTGAGCAATGATGACAGGGCAGGGCAATGAATCTTGACAGGCCTCAGTTTTCTCATCTGTAACATGGGTCAGTGATTTGCAAACAATAGCTTGTGCAGGTGTAGGGATGTCATAAAGAGACTGACAGTCATGGTTTCTAGGTTTTTTTTCCCCCAGATTTTAGCTAGATTGACTCTAATTTGTATTTTCCTTTTTGACTTGCCCATGATTTTTCTTTTCTTTTTTCTTTTAAAAGCAAGACTCCACAGCTGAAAAAATAGTTTGAAAACTTTTGTTCTAAATATACTCAAGAGTTGTAGCATGGTACATAGAGGTAGGTAGGTTTTGGAACAGTTAAACCTGGTTTGAATCTTAACTGTGGCTCAGGCAGAGTTGGAGGAGACAAGAAAACAAGCTAAGAGTTGTATTTTAGAGAGATGGCCTTCCTAGAGCTATGAAGGATGGGTGTGAAGGAATAGAATCTGGAAGCAGGAAAAGCATTTACATTTAGAAGATGTTAGAAATAGTTTACACATGAAATAATGAGCTCAACTCAGGCAACGAGCGATAGAAATCGAATTGGAAGTATATATTTAAGAAACATCAGGGAAGTTTGAAAGGATAAGTACAGTTAAGGTGTTTAGGACAGGCAAGTAGTCTAAAATGATTGCCCACTTTCTGATAACATTGATGAGCTGGGAAATCCAGAGAGGTACACTTTCAGGGAAAAGTATGATGAGCTCGTGTTTGTAATGTAGGATTTGATGAACCAATTGGGTATGTCTACCAGGGTCTAGAGTATAGAAATGAGATCTGGGTAACAAGGGGAAAATGAAAATATTTTATGTATGAAAGTACAAAACTCATTAGAAAAGACAGTGAATAAAAATTTTTCAAAACAGTAAGCTCTGTGAGCAAGCGTGAATGTCCTTTGGCATCCATTGTGTGTAATTAATTTTATTCCTATGTATCTAGAATGATGTTAGGTATATACCATCCTGCACAAATTTTAAAAATAGCCATAAAACCACTGCATATGTGTTTTGTGGTTCATAGAGGGGAACCTATTAAGAAACATGTGAAAAAAATCCAAAGCCCCAGTGAGGATGAGTGATACCCTGAGGAGCTCACAGTGCAGTGTACGATATGAACCTGCTTACAGATAATGGCAGTGTGAGTAGAGAAGTGTAAAAGGATTCAGGCAGTGAAGCCAGTCAGCTTCTGGTCTCTCTCTGCCTCTCTGTCTTCCTGTGTCTCCTGCTCCAGCTCTTCATCTCTGTTTCTCCCTCTCGGTTCATCTTTCCTCTGTCTTGGCTTCTTGACCTGGTGACCACTCATTATAGCAAATCTTCCAGCAGCTCCAGGATGTTACCATTCTCCATGTAGCAACCTCAGTAAAAGAAGACATATCTTACTCACCAGCTCCAGTAAAATTCCCTGAAATAATTCATGCTGGCCTTTTTGTAGATCTTACGCCCTTTCCTGAACCAATCGCCAAGGCTGTGAGCATGGAATATGCCAGTTCCCCTGGCCTATATCAGGAGCTGCTGAAGGAGTGGTATAAATTCCAGCAGTATAAATTCTACGATGACATCCTCTTCGGAGGAGCATGTGGAGTGGAAGCAGGCAAAGAGGATTCTCCTCCAAAGGCAATATCGTCATAGAAAAGAGGCAGTGCTATCAAGATCAGCAAACCTCATAGATGGCTGCCCCTACAGCACAAAGAGCCAGTGACTGCCATTTCCTTCAGGAGCCAAAGAAGGCTTCCTCATGACCTGGACAGGAGAGATTGGACAGGTTTTCCCTAAGGTCATACAGCAGTATTTAGGGACATGAACATTCTTGGTGATGGTGGTGGGACTGAACTCTAAATCTACCATCTGGAGCTAACTATACAAAAGACAGAAGGCCAAACTTCAAAGGTTAGCCACATTTATAAACATGATAATTAAGTTGTACCTTCAACTACAAAGAGTGATATGACATGCCTTTTTTGCATCCTTTAGTTTTGGGCTGAGAAACTTTGGAAACAAATTATGGCATTCACAATTTTAAAATGGGGGACAGAGAAATGCATTGATTTTGAAATGGCAAACCAAAGTAGCTTTCATAGTTGGAAAATAGGGTAGTTCTGGGTTGAGAACAAAGATTCCCAAGAGAAGGCAATATCACACTCCATTCTAAGCAAAGACATTTTGGAGGGCAATTTTCATAAACTGAGAAGGGTGGAGGAGATTAATAGGTTGATATAAATTGATAAGAGATCAAGTTTGGGCATGTGGACTTAAAATCAGAAAGTGATGAAGAACCTTCCAAAGCAAAACAAACCAAAACAACTGCTCTGAAGAGCAGAGGATTTGTCTTTAAACAAGATAATACTTTTACTTAAGAAACCATCAAATAATTAGACAAAGTCTATACAAATAATTAAAAGTCTTTTAAAAAGTCTGTACAAATAATTCCAATAGAAAACTGGACTATTTGCTTTCATTCTCATTGTGAATGTGACCTGAAGTTTTGAATAAAAGTAGTAATAGGGAATTCTTTTAATCTTATTTATTTAAAAAACTTCAACTTGAAATTGAGAAAGAATTATTTTCTGCTTAACAGGTCAAATGGCGTATAGCAAATGATTTTTGAGGAAATGTTTTCAATTTCAAAATAAATTGCTGAAGCAATAGAACAGCAATTTTGGACAAGTTAACTTTGTATAAAAATGATTGATACTTTTATAGAGAATATTTAGATAAACACAAAAGAGTAAGCATAGGTTAGTACATTTAAAGAGTTTTAAAAAGAAAAATAACTGTAGAAGGTTTATATATGTGGCTGAATCTTGTGATGTGATAGAAGTAGAGACAAATGGTTTTGACATATATTAATTCAACCTGAAATCCCATATTTAAAAATCAATCCTCATACTCTATAAATACAAAAAGGATTTGTACCACAAAATCTAGTCATCCATTTACATATTAATCAACCATTCAACAAATATTTCTAGTAATGCTTTGTGCCAGGCACTTTTAAGAGTTCTGGGGGAAAAAAGAGTCAATAAAATAAAGGCCCTGATTTTGGGGAAATCATAGTCTATTGTGAGAGTGGGATGTGTAAATAAATACTTACAATTTTTCATCCATGCCTGAGGATTCCCATTAGTTTTTTTCCCAGTGACATTAAGATGGTTTAGTCCTAATAAAATGTTCCATTTTCTTTTAAAAGTCATTGTGTACCCTACTTTTAAGTAGATACTAGGGCTCCTTCATCTAAGGTGAATAATGGCAAGTTCCTCTGGGCTTTTCCTGGGACAAAACTTGGGAGTGGATGGCCCACTATTTTCTTGCACGGTTTCATATCTATTTTGCCTTCCCAGAAAAGCATGGCCCTGAATGCATCCATTTAACAAAAGAAAAATAGTAGCTGCAGAAAAGGAAATGGCAAGAAAAAAAAAAAAAAGAGGAGCCATGGCTTAAAGATAGAAAGATTCAGAAATGTCTCAAAAATATTTAAGAGGCAATGAACTCAGGGTGTGTGTACTGTAGACCCAGATATAGAAATCTTGACGAGATAGTCTTGAAGTTATTAGGAGAAAAACTGAAGGAAAACTAGTAAGAAAATCTGTTTTTCATCTTACGGAAGAACAAAATATGATTTCAACTTCCAGCAGCATTGTTATTTAGAAACATAATATTCAGATCATGGAAAATAGCGTCGTGTCCATTTCTGAGGACTATATTTTTAACTGCAACATTGAAGAAGTCCATTGAACAGAGAAGGATAAGATGAAGAAATGTCTAAGTTATCCTCCAATTCTAATTGTTAGAGACTAAGTTAACTTAGAGTTTACCATTTAGGTTAAATATAGTCCCCAAATGAAAGAAACAGAAACAAATACTTTCTGCCTCTCCCCATTTTTTACTTTAGGTGAAGGATGAATTCAGTACATCTTACTAAAAGAAATATCAAGATTCGTTTCTGTGAATTTGTACTTAAATGTCATTTTGGGGAAATTATTTTTATGTGAAGACAGGCCAGCAGGCAGTAGAAGTTGAAAGATCTCGAATGATATATAGCATGAAGAAGTTTTTAGTAAACTGGAGGCAATTATCTTTCTAGCAAAGCATATTTCCTCCAGCAATAGTAAGCACTTGCCTTGAACAATGCAACCAAGTGTTTGGCTCAACCATTTAACTTTAAAGATTGTATGTAAAGGAAGTGGTTAAGGATATATGTAGAGTTTTCTCTAAGTGTTCATCTCAGTGTTATTTTTAATAGTGAAATTATAAAGAATCTACATGCCAAATGTTGGAGAATGCGTTAAATAAATTATCCAAACAATGCAATGTGTAATGAATAGTTTAAATGGAAAGCTATTCACATCATATTGTTAAGTGAAATAAATCAAATTAGAATGAATATATCTATATATCTATATCTATACCTATATACACAGTCTGAGCATAACTATGGGAGGAAAGTATTGAAAAAGTAATATGTAATTATGAGTTTCTCTGGGTAATGAGGTTAGGGATGTTACATTTTAATTTTCTCTTTTTGCTTGCTTTCTAACTTTTCTTCAATGAAATTGTATTGCCTTTGTAAAGATAAAAATGTTTTTTATTTTATTTAGCTTTTAGGTTCAAATTATACATGTGCAGTTTGTTACATTGGTATTTTGTGTGATGCTGTGGGGTATCACTGGTCTCATCACCAGGTATGAAGCATAGCCCCAATAGGTAGATTTTCAGCCCCTGCCACAATCTCTCCCTCCCCACTCTAATAGTTCTCATTGTCTGTTGTTCCTATCTTTGTGTCCATGTGTACCCAAGATTTAGCTCTCACTTATGAGAACAAGTATTTAATATCTGGTTTTCTCTCATTAATTTGCATAGAATAATGACCTCCAGCTCCATCTATGTTGCCGCATGGATGCAACATGGCCTTTTTTATAGCTACATAGTATTCCATGGTATATATGTACCACAGTTTCTTTATCCAATCCACCATGAATGAGCACCTAGATTGATTGCATGTCTTTGCTATTGTGAATAGCACTGCAATGAACATACAAGTGCACGTATTTATTTTCCTTTGGGTATCTACCTAGGAATGGGATTGCTGGGCCAAATGTTAGTTCTGTTTTGAGTTCTCTGAGAAATCTCCAACCTGCTTTCCACAGTGGTTAAACTAATTTACATTCCTAACAACAGTGTATGAGCATTCCTTTTTCTCTGAAGCCTTGCCAACTTCTATTATTTTTTAACTTTTTAAAAATAGGCATTTTGACTGGTATGAGGCGATATCTCATTATGGTTTTGAATTACATTTTCTAATGAATGGTGATGTTGAGCATTAAAAATATATTTTGAAAATATAATATATATTTCATATGTAGGATGTGAAATATGTATTTGTATTAAGTAATATATTAATATATCTATATCTCTTTGTAAAGCACTAATTTAAAGATATATTTGTCAAATAAAGATGAAACTTCATGCTATTTTCCTGTTTATGTGTAATCTATCACCAGTTGTGATCAGTCCAGTACTATGTTCCAACAAAATTTTCTTTGGTTCCTTGAACATACCATGTTTATTTCCATCTTGGGATCATTGCTTAAGCTCATCCAGCTGCCTTATGTATTTTCTGAGATCTTAATGGTGGCTCGTTTTCATTGTTCGGGGCTTGGTTCCAGCATCAACTTCATAAAGAGAAACTCTGACTACCTTCCTTCAAGTGGCTTTCCGTAGTCTCTCTCTATCTTATTCCTCTGTTTATTTTCCTCAAACCTTTGCTCACATTCTGCACTTATTTTGCTTATTCATTTGTATGCTTGATAAATGTCTCCTCCTCTAGAATGTAAGCTCCATGAAGGCAATGGCCTCCTCAGTGATCCCCTAACACAAGGTCTGACATATGGTGGGTAGAATGAATTACTCGTGAAAACATCTCAGCAATGATGACAGACATTAAGACTTTCATCAGAAAAAGTTGAAGTCCAGTGTTGGGTAGAGATAAACTTACTTCAAGCTCTTATCAATATGAATGTGTATT